ACACTAACACACACACACACACACACCACATCGAGATCCACCCACCCGCTGACAACAACAACAACAACAACAACACCAACAACAACAGGAAGGAATCAGAACCAAGCAGCAGCAGCTATTACAACTACTACCGTGGGTCGTCAACATCCCCCCCTCAGTTATGCCTGGATTTCCTCCCCTGCAGATAGCCCAGCCACCTCTGGACGGTGGTCTTGAAGATGGGATCGTCGTCGATGACCATCAGCTGCAGCACCTGGTTAATGTGCGTGGTGTGGTAGTCCCAGCGCGCGCGGTTGGGCTCGATGCCGGCGGTGATGTGTCGGAGGTCGTACAGCGTGCCCACGCCAGAGTCGTACAGTCCGATCATGACTTTCAGCGACTTCATCCCCGAGCTGTAGATCCTCTCCGCCGTCTCTTTATCCCGGCCCGAGGCCGTCTCTTTGAGATCGTAGAGCCCCATGAGGGAGTAGATGAACCCGTTGAGCACGAACGAACTGGGCGTGGTCGGGTACTCCTCGTACCAGTCCAGCTGGCCCAGAAATCGAGCCCTCACCCCGCCCTGGACGCTGTCAATCTCGAACAGTTTGAGCGCCTCGACGGCCGATCGGAGATACCGCTTCTCCTTCGAGTCTAAATACGCGCGCACCAGCACAGACATAGCTTGACCTTGACCCATAGCGGAGTACCAGCCCGGAGGGAGTTCAAGGACGCCGGGGACGACGCGCCGAGCAACCATGATGGGCCAGCCGCCTCGCTCGTCCTGGTGCTTCACCAGCCAGTTGGCCGCGTCGTAGAACTGCTCCATATGAATGGCCGAGGATAACGTCAAATTGTCCAGCCAGCCGTGGCCGTGGAGGCGAATCTCCACGATCCGAGCGATGCCCGTGTGAGATTTGTCAGGCTTCCCACCCTTCAGGCTGAAGCCTTTTTGCACGTCGAACTTGAGGTCCCGGGCGATGTGCATCCACTCGTTGTGCCGCTCGCCCAGCCCATAGAAGACGTTGGACTTGCCGTCGGAGGCGATGTGCGCGCCCGTGAACACGTAGTGGATGCTCACGCGGTCCCTGCTCACCGTCTCCACCACGATGATGACGCTGCCGTTGGTGGAGAACTTCACGTCCATGGACACGCACTTGTTGGCCTTCTCGTCCACGGGCAGCGTGATGCCTTTGCTGCTCAAGGAGTCTGTTGT